CCCACCCAGCACAGCGTTTCGTGGCCCGATGAGGGGGCTCCACCGAAGGTCCCAGCGGCTCCGCCCGCATGCGTCCGCCACCACCCAGTAGTTTCACCCACCCAGTACAGCGCTTCGTGGCCCCATAGGGGGCTCCACCGAAGGACCCAGTGGCACCGCCCGCATGCGTCCGCCACCACCCAGCACAGCCCTTGCTCCCTGCATTTCACCCACCCAGTACAGCGCTTCGTGGCCCCATAGGAAGCTCCACGGAAGGTCTCAATGGCACCGCCCGCATGCGTCCGCCACCACCCAACACGGCCCTTGCTCCTTGCGTTTCACCCACCCAGTACAGCGCTTCGTGGCCCCATAAGGAACGCCACCGAAGAAGATATTCACAATTGCGGTACTCACAACTGCATATGATTGGGTCTTTCGCCAGGCTAACTTTAATTCGCCGGCCCACCTCGACCTCGATACTTATCGCAAAAGAAGTCAAAGCCGGAGGTAAACCAACTAAAAGAGAACCCAGGGCTTATGCCCTTTCCGGGAAAACGTGGCTCTCACCTAGGGCAGCGTACATTCGTAAAAAAAACTGACAAGAGTTTCCCCTGGCATCCCGTGGATAGCGTGGCAGAGGTGTTTTTTCCCCAACCATCCTGTGGTGTTGGGTCCTCGTTTTGAAATAACGGTTCTCCTCCTCCTCCTCCTCCTCCTCCTCCTCCTCCTCCGCCTCCGCCTCCGCCTCCTCCTCCCCCTCCTCCTCCTCCTCCTCCTCCTCCTCCTCCTCCTCCCTCCTCCTCCTCCTCCTCCTCCTCCTCCTCCTCCTCCTCCCTCTTCATTCCTCATCCATCATCATCATCATCATCATCATCATCATCATCATCATCATCATCATCATCATCATCATCATCATCATCATCATCCTCATCATCCTCATCACCATCACCATCACCATCACCATCACCATCATCATCAGCATTAGCATCAGCATCAGCATCAGCATCAGCATCAGCATCAGCATCAGCATCATCATCATCATCATCATCATCATCATCATCATCATCATCATCATCATCATCATCACCCGTTTCAGCACACCCCTCCCACGCTGCGTGGCCCCATGGGAAGCCCCACCGAAGGCCCCAGTGCTACCGCCCGCATGCGTCTCCCACACCAATTACAGCGTTTCGTGGCCCCCACATCCCTCCTCCCTGCGTTTCACCCACCCAGTACAGCGCTTCGTGGCCCCATAGGGAGCCCCACCGACGGCCCCAGTGCTACCGCCCGCCAGCGTCCCCCACACCCAGTACAACGTTTCGTGGCCCCCTCCTCCCTCCGCCCTGCGATTCACCCACCCAGTACAGCGCTTCGTGGCCCCATAGGAAGCCCCAACCGACGGCCCCAGTGCTACCGCCCGCATGCGTCCCCCCCACACACACATTACAGCGTTTCGTGGCCCCCTCCTCGCCCCTCCCTACGTTTCAACACACCCAGTACAGCGCTTCGTGGCCCCATAGAGGGCCCCACCGAAGGTCCCAGCGCTACCGCCCGCATGCGTCCCGCACACCCAGTACAGCGTTTCGTGGCCCCCATCCTTCCTCCTCCCTGCGCTTCACCCTCCCAGTAAAGCGTTTCGTGGCCCCACAGGGAGCCCCACCGAAGGTCCCAGTGCTACCGCCCGCATGCGTCCCCCACACCCAGTACAGCGTTTCGTGGCCCCCTCCTCCCTCCTCCCTGCGCTTCACCCACCCAGTACAACGTTTCGTGGCCCCATAGGGTGCCCACCGACGGCCCCAGTGCTACCGCCCGCATGCGTCCCCCCCGTCCTGTGCGGCGCTTCGTGGCCCCATGGGGAACGCGACCGAAGAAGATATTCACAATTGCGGTACCCACAACTGCATATGGTTGGGCCCTTCGCCAGGATAATGTGTGAAAAAACTCAGGATTGTCGGGCGCAACAGTCAAGTTGATTCGCTGTGCGGAAGCCCCAGGAATGGTGTTCCTGCACGATTCTGGGTCGCCGAGACAGGACAGTCAGGTTAACTCGTGGCGGTGAAGTTCTGATTATGGTGCTTTGGTACGGTTAAATATGTTCGCACGGTTGTCCTCCAACGGGCCAGTTCCCTCAGTGAAAATTGCCCCCTGTAAGGGCATATGAAGAGAGACTTGGAGGGAGGGTGTATTACAACATCGTTGATAGGTAGTGGTTTTACACTGGTCCTCCCGCTCCTCGCATCGAGGCCCGATCATCATCATCATCATCATCATCATCATCATCATCATCATCATCATCATCATCAGCAGCAGCAGCAGCAGCAGCATCATCATCATCGTCATCATCATCAGCATCATGATCATCATCACCGTCATCATCATCAGAAGCAGCAGCAACAGCCTCATCATCACCAGCAGCGTCACCATCATAATCATCGTCATCATCATTAGCAGCATCAGCATCATCATGATAATCAGCATCATCATCATTATCGTCATCATCGTCATCAGCATCATCACAATCAGCACTGTCATCCTCCTTCTCATCATCATCAGCAGCATCAGCATCGTCATCAGCATCATCAACACCATCACTAGCATCATCACCGGCATCATCATTCTCCTCATCATCAGAATCGTCATCGTCGTAAGCATCGTCGTCATCGTCGTTATCGGCATCGTCATCGTCATCAGTAACATGATAATCATCATCATCCCCATCACCATCACCGTCATTATCATCAGCATCAGCATCATCATCGTCATCGTCATCGTCATCGTCAGTTTCAGCATTGGCATCAACATCATCATTGACATCAACATCAGCAGCATAATCGTCAGCATCATCATCAGCAGCATCATCATCAGCATCATCAGCGTCAGCATCAGCATCATAATCATCATCATCATCAGCATCAGCATCATCATCCCATATTCATCATAATCATCATTATCAGCAACATCCACAACAGCATCAGCATCCGCATCATCATCAGCAACAGCATCACCATTAGCATCATCATCATCAGCATCATCGTCATCGTCCTCGTCGTCGTCGACATAATCGTCATCCTCATCATCAACAGCATCAGCATCAGCATCATCATGATCATCAGCAGCAGCATCATCATCTGCCGCATCAGGTGCAGTATCGTTATCGTCAACATCGCTATCACCAGCACTAGCATAGGAAGCAGCATCCGCATCAGGATCGTCATCATCAGCCAGATCATCATCATCAGCAGCAGCAGCATCAGCAGCAGCATCATCATCGTCGTCGGTGTCGTCATCATCACCAGCAGCAGCATCAGCATCAGCATCATAATCATCATCAGCGGCAGCAGCATCATAAGCATCATCATCGTCATTATATGGATCATCCCTCTCCTCATCATCCTCCCCATTTCTCCCCAAAAAGTTCCCCCAAGCGTTTCCACAACAGCAGGGCGGAACACAGAAAGTCCAATATCTTCGCAAGACGGCGGCCCAACGTTTGGCCACATTGGCGTTTCCAAGAGGCAGGGAGCGGCGGTGGTTCGCGGTAGGCGTCGTTGTTACATTATAGAGGATTGCTAAATCAACTGCAGAGCAACGCAATACACAACCACAACGGAACAATGCGCGAATCCTTACAACATCAAAGTTCAGCGCCTTCTGGTGCACGATGGTGCAAAACCATAAAGCACGCTAGAACTCAAATGATGACGTAGAAACACACGCTACCATTCAATGAATCATCAACCATGCACAGACGAACTTGTAAGTAAGAATGCGTGCAGTCCTCCGTTCCGATACAATGCCGTAGTTTGCCCTGTGCCGCAACATCATCCACCACACCCCTCACAAATCTACACGCGAGCACGGCTACCTACACAGCTTCCGTATAAGCATGTATACCATACAGACACTTTATGGTGTAGCCCATTCCGCACGCTACAATGTTTGGACTCGCGCCCACTACTACGATGTGCTCAACGATACCACGCGAGAGCATGCTCACCCACACGTCAAACTTTGGAATTGTAGCAGCTCGCTTCGAGTACCAGTGAGTCCCACCAGCCCTCTGGGCGGTGGTCTGGAGTGGTTTCTCTTCCAACCCTCTTTATTCCCATTCGGCGAGGAGTGTAACCATCCGCATACCACCTCCCCCTGGATCTGGACAGGGGGGTTCGCGGGAAGTTCAGAGCGCCCAAGATGGCCCACTCCCGAAGATGACCTCAGAGAGCTCACGATGACCTCCAACATGGCATGTGACAAACAGAGAAAGCTTAAGACAGCCTCCACGATGCATCCGAGATACACCAAGATCGTCCCAAGACAGGTTCAAGTGGCCACGTAGCCTCTCAAAGATGCCCCCAAGAGGCCAAAATCCGTCCAAAACCTGAGGACAGCCAATAAATCTTGCCTTCTCGCCGTTTCGCTCCTGATGGGCTTCTTCTGAGGCCTCAAGATGGCTCCAGGATGGCCCAAGAGAGGCCCAAGCGGGTTCCAATATGGACCCAGGAACGCCCAAGAGCGCCCCAAGAGGGCCCCGAGAGGCGATTATTGAGGCTCCGTTCGGGCGAGGCCAATGAAGAGCATCCTCTCCTTTGATCGATGTCCACAAAGATGGCCCCAAGAGGGTGCCCAAGGCCCCGAAGAGTAGCCCGAGAAAGCCCATGGAGACCCAAAGGCATCCAACATTGCCCCAAGAGGGCTCCAAGATGGCCCAGGTAAGCTGCCAAGAGGCTCTCTTATTGACCCATCCGCGAAGGCGTTTATGGTTGACTTCTGGGTCTGCTCAGGCTGATGCCGATCTTCGGTGTGACGGCCACCCAACCCCTCTTCGTTCCACTGCGTGCTCCCACTCCGCCCTGATCAACGCAACACGCCTGAGCGTCGTCTCTGGATGGGCTTGTGGAGACACGCGACGCGCGTAGAGCATGTCAACAAGGACACCAGCGCAGGAAGACGACGAGGGCAGGCGAAGGCGGGAAACGCATCAGCCAGCAACGCTCGCAGAGAAAGACCGAGTCGACGCAGGCCTACGCGATGCGCCTCTTCTCATGCATCCACCAGCGGCCGCCGGCGCGGCAGCTGGCCTTCGCCCACGGACCGCCCCTCCCCGCCGGGCAGAGAATGCCAGCACTCGTGCTGGCACGTGTGCACGTGCACGCATGAGTGCAGGCAGAGGTTCCTCCCGAAAGTGCAGGCAGTATTCGACATTGGGCGGACCGGGGGGGGAGGGGGGGGGTCTGGCTCCGGGCCTTTGCTTAGCGCGACTGTTTGCAACAGTGCGTCCTGTGGGTGAGACTCCACCTGCTTGAAACAGGCGCCAGAAGCAGCCAAGATCCACTCCATGGGGGGGGGAGGGGGCGCGAGGGCCCGCGCCGATCGGCAAAACAGTCGGTGAGAAAACGATCAAAAAGGCCAAACCATCAAAACGTGCTTCCGCCATACGTTGCATGCGTGTATTACGCAGTATTGTTTGAGAGGGGGGAGCGAAGAGCGGGGAAACACTACCGAGCGCACGCACCCTCCCCCAGCCTGCCAGGCCCGACATAAAAAAAAACGCTTACGCGGGCAACGAGGCATACACGTGTCACGGAATTGGTGCAAGAACGGCAACACGAGAAGGGAGCAGGAGGAGGAGGAAGAGGAGGAGCGGAAGAGGGAAGAAGAGGACGACTGACACTAATAAAGTTGCTGATATGCACCGCGAGGTGACAACCTGAACGAACGCAACTGATGGTCTGGGCATTGCAGGCTTGTGTCTGACCTATACAGCTTAAAGATGGCCCTGAAATTGCCCACCATGGTGCTGAGGTGGGCCCATAAAGACGACGAAGACCTTCTACAGGCCCACACGAGCACAAAAAGAGCTCCAAGATCACTCCGAGGGAAGCTTCTCAGTCATCTGACAGTAATGGCGTTGAGCCCTCTTTTTGGCAACCGACGACCTCCGTCATGGCCCGGAAAGAATCCAAAAGGGCACCCAAAGAAGGACCCAGAAGAGCCCTAAAGGACCCCAACGGGTCATCGACGAAGCGCGAAGGGACCTGCATTGGGCTTGTCGTAACTCTCGGAGGGCCCAGAGGTCGCAAGCTTTGGGCATGCTTCCGGGAGCTCTTGGGGGGGGCCTGCGGGTGCTCGGGGTTGGAGGGGGGGGGCTCCCAATAACTCCCAGGACTGCCCCGAGCGCAGTGTCCTCCCATAAGGACGCGAAGCGGCAGCCAGAAGCAACTGCTCTAAAGTGAAGCAGAGCCAGTGCACAGCACCGAGCGCCACAGGCGGCAGTACCGAAATTATGCGTCTGCTCGGGCAGTCGCCGAACTCCGCTTGCCTGCCGGGGGCTGGCGAGCCGCGTGAGTCTTCGGCCGTTCCCCTTCCCCACGTTGCACTTCCGGTGGGTTCACAGTCCTGCTTGAGCAACGGAGACGGGAGTCTCATGAGCTCGTCAAAGCAAGCCCTGGCAAAGGTTCCCAGAGGCCCCAGAAAGCCCCACAAGCTGACAGAAACAGCTAGGCCAGATGGTGTCCATGGCTCATTGTATCGCGGCGCGGGATCAGGTAATTCGGGTCCCCAACACGGTGCGGTGAGGAGCAGTGCGGTAGCCTCAAAATCAAACAAACAAAAATTATCCTGGCGAAGGACCCAACCATATGCAGTTGTGAATGCCGCAATTGTGAATGCCATCTTCGCCTGCGCTCCCTATGTGGCCACGGCTTCCCGCCGGAGCCCGACATGCTCAGGGACACGTTCGTGGCCGTCTTCGCGGGCGCCGACGACGACAAGGACGGCGTCCCTCTCACCGAGGAGCAGAAGCAGGAGAAGGCCTTGAGAGCCATGAGGGAGGAGGTGGCGTTGCACGTCGACAAGGCGGAGTACGACGCCCATGCGCAGTTGTTGAAGCAGCGCAACTATGGGGCCACGATCCTCGTGAGGGATGTGCCGCAATGGCCCGGGGCCGCCATGCGAACCCTGCCACTGGCGCCTTCGGTGGAGCTCCAGTGGGGCCACGGTCCTCGTGAGGGGTGTGCCGAAATGGCCCGAGGCCGCCATGCGAACCCTGCCACTGGGGCCTTCGGTGGAGCTCCCTATGGGGCCACGATCCTCGTGAGGGGTGTGCCGAAATGGCCCGAGGCCGCCATGCGAACCCTGCCACTGGCGCCTTCGGTGGAGCTCCCTATGGGGCCACGATCCTCGTGAGGGGTGTGCCGAAATGGCCCGAGGCCGCCATGCGAACCCTGCCACTGGCGCCTTCGGTGGAGCTCCCTATGGGGCCACGATCCTCGTGAGGGGTGTGCCGAAATGGCCCGAGGCCGCCATGCGAACCCTGCCACTGGGGGCCTTCGGTGGAGCTCCCTATGGGGCCACGATCCTCGGGAGGGGTGTGCCGAAATGGCCCGAGGCCGCCATGCGAACCCTGCCACTGGCGCCTTCGGTGGAGCTCCCTATGGGGCCACGATCCTCGTGAGGGGTGTGCCGAAATGGCCCGAGGCCGCCATGCGAACCCTGCCTCTGGGGCCTTCGGTGGAGCTCCCTATGTGGCCACGATCCTCGTGAGGGTGTGCCGAAATGGCCCGAGGCCGCCATGCGAACCCTGCCACTGGCGCCTTCGGCGGAGCTCCCTATGGGGCCACGATCCTCGTGAGGGGTGTGCCGAAATGGCCCGAGGCCGCCATGCGAACCCTGCCACTGGAGCCTTCGGTGGAGCTCCCTATGGGGCCACGATCCTCGTGAGGGGTGTGCCGAAATGGCCCGAGGCCGCCATGCGAACCCTGCCACTGGAGCCGTCGGTGGAGCTCCCTATGGGGCCACGATCCTCGTGAGGGGTGTGCCGAAATGACCCGAGGCCGCCATGCGAACCCTGCCAGTGGGGCCTTCGGTGGAGCTCCCTATGGGGCCACGAAGCGGTGGGTGAAACGCAGGGATGAGGGGGAGGAGGAGAGGAGGAGAGGAGACGCGGGCCACCGTCTCTTCAAAACGAGGACCCAACACCACAGGATGGTTGGGAAAAAATGGCCGCACGCTCGGTCACCGCACTGTCTTGGGGACCCTGGAGGTCCCCGTCGCCCGAGACACATTCGGAGACCGACTCGAGTCCAAGAACCGTGCGGCGACCCCGCCTGGAGGGCCCCCGGCTCAGCCTCGACAGCCGCGCTAATTATCGCGGGCACGGCGCGCTCCCCGCGACGTCACGAGGCACGGCACGACTGCTAGACGGCGACACGCGGCACGGCACTGCATGGCAAGCGCCCCGCGAAGTCACGAGCAGCGACGCGGCACGGCGAGCGCCCCTCGGGATCGCGAGGCACGGCGCGTCAGAGTACGGCAAGGCGAAGCACGGCACGGCACGCGCCCCACGGAAGCACAGGACCCAACACGGCACGGCACGGCCTGGCGGCAGGCGCCCAGCCACAGCACCACGGAACGGCACGGCACGCAACGAGTACGGCGCAGGACCCCCTCCTTGGCCCCCTGGGGCCCTCGTAAGGAGCCTATCAGGGAATGTGATGGCGCTCTTGGAGCCCCTCGGGGCCACCCTGGGTCACTCTCCCGCCGTCGGAAAGGATTCCGGGCTCCCTGGCGGGCGCGAAGCTGGCCAGATGGAGGTCGGCTCTGCAAGAAGGGTTTACCCAACTGGCGGTTGAAAATCCCAGAATGTAGACCCCCGCTTGCTTCCCCACTAGGACGTATATGCAGGGCACGCTTGAGTTCAGATTCTTCTGCGACAGTCGGGACACCGCTCGCCGCCGAGCTGTCAAACAAAGTTGGTAAGTCTGGCATGTTTGTGTATCTATCGACCAATCGAGGCAACCGTCTTGTCTTAAGACTCTCTACCTCGTCCAAGTAGCGACTGGCCGCCTGCTTGCGCGTGGCAGACATGTTAGCCACGACGATGGCTAGTCGAAAGACACATGCAATTCACCGACTACAGTTGCGCGGTTGCGTTGCGCCCCCCCCCCCCCCTCACGAAATCGAGCCCCAGGAACACCTTCTCATCCTAAACAACAACAGCAACAACAAGGCCAACAACAAGGTCAGCACTCACACTGCGGGCCCGGCCCACGGTACCGCTCACGCCTTCTGCCCCCCCCTTTCCCCGACACCGACACCGACAGTGCTTCGGAATCCCGATGGGAATTCCACTGATGAGAAAATTCTGAAGAACGAAGCCTTACGGTTATCCTTCCGAGTTTGCAGACGTTGAGACGTGTATGCGCGGGCGAAGCGAGGTTCTGCTGGGCATTCTGTCGCACCATGATGCTGCCGATTCCTGGCGGACTCCTTCCTGAAGCTCCTTTTTACTGGGGATGCCTAAAAGGATTCCCTACTGGAAATCCCCCACAAAAGGATTCGTTACTGCTGAAACATACAAAGGATTGGCTACTGGGCATTTCCTACTTAGGATTCATGACTGGGGATGCCTACAAATGACTCCCTACTGAGAGTTATACCCCCTAAAAACGCTACCTGACTGAAGATGCCCTACTCCTGAATCCTGATTGAGGGTTCCTGAGTAAGGACTCCCTACGAAGGTTTCTTACAAAGGATGCTTTACTAAGGGTATCTCCATATGTAAGGATCCACAAACGAAGGCCCCCCCCATACTAGGAATTGTTCGGTCTCCATGGGAATCTCTCGAAATCCTCAGGAATCCTAACAAATCCTTGGGAATGCCCGGGCATCTTTCGGTATCCTCAGGAATCCTTGAAAATGCCTCGGAATCCTTAGGAACCCCTAGAAAGAATTCTTCGGAATCCAATGGATACAAGAGGATCCCTTTGAATTCCCTCGGATTCCTTGAGATTCCTGCAGGATCTTTCAGAAACCACGCGCAATCATGATAGTACAAGTATTAGTAATAGTAGTGGTAGTAGCGATCGTAATAAAAATTTAAGCAGCAGCACTGATAGTAGTAGTAGTAGTAGAAAAAGTAGTACTGGTGGTAGTGGTAGAAAATTCAATAGCCGTGGTCGTCGTAATTGTAATAGTGGTCGTAGTGGTAGTAGTAATACGACTACGAAGAAGTAGTAGCATCTCGAAAGCAAAAGTGGTAATCGTGGAAGAGAAAGCTTTACTCGTAATACCTCCAGCAGTAGTAATAGTAGTAGTTGTAGTAGTAGTAGTAATAGTAGTAGTAGTAGTAGTAGTAGTAGTAGTAGTAGTAGTAGTAGGTAGTAGTGGTAGTAGTAGTAGTAGTAGTAGTTCTAGTACTGGTACTGGCAGTAGTTGTAGTAATAATAATAAAATTAATAACAGTAGCCGTAGTAGTAGTGGTAGTAGTAGTAGTAGTGGTTTCGTAGTCGCCTTGATAAGTGTTGAAATGGCAACAATAGTCGCAGTAGTCGTAGAAGTAATAGTGTAATAAAAAGTTGTAGTACGACTAGTACTAATAGTAATACTACTAAAAATAATAATCGTACTAGTACTAGGAGCTGTCGCTGCTATAGTACGAGTAGCCGTAATCAAAAAAAAATCGTCGCCGTCGTAGGCGTACTCGTAGCAAGTCCACTTGTACGTACTATAGTTGCGGTAGCAGTCACAATGGCAATGGTAGTAGTAGTAGTAGCAGCAGCATGAAGCTTGAATAGTAGCAGTTTGTAAGACTACTATTATCACGATAAGCAGCAGTAGTAATAGTAGTAGTAGTAGTAGTAGTTGAAGATAGTCAAAAAAATACACTAGTAATGGTAGTGGTAGCCGTAGTAGTAGCAGTAGTAATCGTAGTAGTGATCGTAGTAGTAGTAGTAGCAGCAGTAGTAGTAGTAGTAGTAGTTGTAGAGGCAGTAGTAGTGGTAGCAATATTACTAGCAGTAGAAGCAGCAGTCGTAGTAGTAGTAGTAGCAGTATTGTAACTAACAGTAGCACTAGTAGAAGTAATAACAAGAACTCTGGTCGTAATCCTAGCAGTAGTAGTAGTAGTAGCAGTCGTCGTCGTCGCGGGAATAATAACAATAGTAGTAGTAGTAGTACCAGTAGCAGCAGTAGTAGTAGTAGTAGTAGTAGTAATAGCATGAGCAATCGTATTAGTAATACTAGTAGCAATAGGGCTACGATTCGTAATCATACGAGTACTGACAATGCGAGCAGCCGTAGGAGTAGTAGCAATACTAGTGGTTATAGTAATGGAAGTGGCAGTAGCAGCCGCCGACGTAGTCGTAGTAATAGTCGCAGTCGTAGTCGTAGTCGTAATAGTAGGAGTAGTTGGGGGAGTAGTAGTAGTAGTAGTAGTAATAGTAGTAGTAGTAGTAGTAATAATAGTAGTAGTAGTAGTAGTGGTAGTAGTACGAATAGTAAAAGTAGTAAGACTAGTAGTAGTAGCAGCAGCAGTAGTAGTAGTAGTAGCAGCAGTAGTAGTAGTAGTAGTAGTAGTGGTAGTAGTGGTCCGAGTAGGCTCCGGTCGCGGTGTCCACATGCGCCTCCACCACCCAGCAAGGCGACTCGTGGCCCCATAGGGGTATCCACCTAGGGCCCCAGTGGCGATGTCCACATGCGTCTTCCCCACCCAGCACGGAGCTTCGTGGCCCCATAGGGAGCTCCACCGAAGGCCCCCGTGGCGGTGTCCACATGCGTCTCCCCCACCCAGTGCAGCGCTTCGTGGCCTAGGGAGGTCCGAAGGGCATTCTCAACAGACCCCCAAGGGGCCGAAGGCCCCCTCTGGGGGTCTGTTGAGAATTGGTGGTGTGGTGGGGGGGGGCGGGCCGCCAGCGCACGTGCCCATCAACAACAACAACACTAACAACAACAACAACAACAACAACAACAACAACAACAACAACAACAACAACAACAACAACAACAACAACAAAAAAAACAACAACAACAACAACAACAACAACAATCATTTTACCCGAACGCTCAGTGTTCTCACCAGTGCCAGGGTTTTCATGCGACGCGAGACAATACCCCCACTTCGTGGGGGGGCAGTTCAAGCTCTACCAAATATCCAAACGACTCTTCGCGACCACCCAAACCCAGCTTCCCGCCCTATGACGTTGGGACACTTCACTTCGTGGCGTGCGGACGACCGTGGCTACTACACTGGCGTGGGGTACACACCCACAGAATTTCGGCGTGCGCGCGCGAAGAAAAAACGAATGTGTCCCGCATGATATTATTTGACAGGGATGATGGCCCTGGCAGGTGCGCAACCGTTGTCGCAGAAATTCGAAAAAGTTGCTCGCAAAAGCCCGTTTGACAAAATTGTTTAAAAAGTGTTGGTTTTCCTACGAATCCGCAAGAGCGCGCGGAAGGACATTTTGACAATTTTTTATTAAAAAACCATTGGGTTTTTGATGTTTTTATGTTAAAATCGTTACGAAACCTAAGGTTTTGGAAGGATTTCGTCTTGCGCGCACGAATGTCCACTTTACCTTATTTTTTGCAAGGGATTCTTGCAATTTGATCAAGTAAGAACAAGAATTTTCATTTTATAGTGTTTTTTGCAAGGGAAAGCGGGGGGGAACAAAACAACCGGATCCGGTACTAATCGTTTTGCCTGAGACTTCCTCACGAAAATGATGAAAATGAGGCTGCGGCCTAGGCGCGGCGGGGGGGTCGTGCACCAGGGGTCCCAACAATAATTATTCTTAAGAAGAAATAATGTTCAACAACAACAACAACAGCAACAACAGCAACAACAGCAACAGCAACAACAACAAAAAAAAACAACAATAACAAAAACCACGGAAACAAAAACAACAACACAAAACAAGACCATAACAACAACAGCGATAAGAACAACAACAGCAACAACAACAGCAGCAACAACAACAACAACAAAACAAAAACAACAACGACGACGACGACGACAACGGCAACAACAACCATCACCACCACCAACAACAGCAACAGCAATAAAAACAACAACAACAACAACAACGACAACAACAACAACAACAATAACAACCACAACAACAACGATGACGACAACCACAACGACCATAACAACATCAACAGCAACAATAACAACAACAGCAATAATAATAACAGCAGCAACAACAACACTAACAACAACAGCAACAACAACAATAACAACAACAACAGCAACCACAACAACAACAACAACAATAGCGGCAGCAACAACAACAGCAGCAACAAAAGCAAACACAACATACAAAGCAAAAAAACGCCCCAACATTGCCTGAAGGCCTCCAAGGCGGTCACAAGACGGAGAAGTTTCCAGCGGCTCCAAGAGGAGCCCAAGATGACCCAAGATAGCCTCAACACGACCCGAGCGGCTCCCAAGACTGCCAAAGCGGGCTCTAAGAGAACGCCCACGAGGCCGTCGAGAGCAGAACACCTTGCTTCCTCTTGCGAGCTTTGAACAGATTGAAGCATACTGGCTCCTTCCGGCGTCCGACAGCCCAAGACGACCCAACGGTTTCCCAAGAGGCCTCACTGACAGCCCAAACGGGTCCCAAGCGGGCCAAAAGACGGCACTAGAGGGCTCCAAGACTGCACAAGTGACCCGCAAGACGGCCCACGGCGGCCCCAAGACGGCCCAAGATGCCCCCGAGACTGCCCAAGAGGCCCCAAGAAGGTCCCAAGAGGGGAAAAATCGACCTGGCCTCAACAGCCTCTTCCTACAGGAGCCACCCAGACCCCCAGCATGCCCCAAGAGGCCCCTAAGAGGCCCGAAGACGCCCCCGAGGGGCCCCGAAAGGCAAAAAAAAACCCAAGAGGCCTCCCAGAGCTCTCCCTGCAGAACACCAAAGGCCTCCCGAGAGTCGCTCAAGACCGAGACCAGTTCCGGCACACGTCTTGAACTCAACCTTCTTCACGCTGCTCTGCTCCGCTGGCGCCGTGGCAGGGTCTGCAGAAGGCACCTGGATGGGGAAGGAGAAGGAGTGAGCTGGCAGGGCATATATGCATCCTCGCAGGACGGACACCTGGGACGCTGTCCAGGGCCATCGATGGACAAAGCAAGCCCACCAGGGTGGCAGCACGAGCCACGCCAGTGAGGAGGAATGGGCGGGGTGGGGCGGAAGGCGGAGGGAGGTGAGAGGAGGGACGAGGGAGGGGATGGGGGACGAGAGAGGAGGCAGGCGAGGAGGAAGGAGGGCGGGGCGCCAGGGAGCGACGCGAGGCGATCGGAGGGCGAGGGGGGCAACGGGAGCAGCAGAGGGAGCGGGCCGGCAGGTGGAAGGCGAGGCGCGGAGAGGAGGGGAGGGGCAGAGGGGGGCACGGGGGGGCAGGACGGGGCACAGGGAGCAGAGGAGGGGGAGGGCTGACGAGGAGGGTGGACGCGCGCGACCCCGCTCCTCCCCCCCCCCCTCCCGGCCGCCCCTCCTCGCACGCAAAAGGCGCGCGCCAGAGAAAAATATGTATGTAGGGGGGACGTGAAGAGAGCAGGTTCTGAGCCAGGGCGGCGCGCCACGCGCGGACCGCGAAGGGAGGGGGCGGGTGCGCTGGCCGAGGCGGCGCAGGGGGCGCCGCAGGGCCAAACGCTGCCCTCGGGCCCAGGGGGGGGGGGGGGCTTCCCGCGCCGCTCTCTCGCGCACCGCTCTGCTTCCCCATATCCGTTTCCCTCTCTGCTTTCCCTCCCCTCTCCTCCGTCCTCCCCCGCCCCCCCTCGCTCCCCCCCCCCGTCCCCTCCCCTGCCTCGGCCCTCTCAGCCTCTCCTCTCCCTCCTCGCCCTCCTCGCTCACCCTCACACCTGTCTGCCCTCGGAGCTCTCCCGGGGGTGCGACTTCACCTGACTGTCGAAGGGAACCCATCCGCTGCGACGAAAAGCCTCCCAGAGGCACGCACAAACCAAGAAGCGTCCAGTCACTTCGGTCCTCGACGTTCGGTACTCGACGATCAAAGTGATCCAGATTGCGTGTGCCCTCTGGCCGCAGCGCGCGGCATCCAAAGTGCTCCATGCTGCGGGGTAGCTAGATCCGCTGTGGATTCGGCTACCCGCGGCCCCCCTCGTGGTTCCCTGGTGGTGGCGGCGCTCCACGGTCGATGCTGCGGCACCCGCGTGCTGAGTGGGGCTGTCGACGCACGATTTGGATGCCCGCGGCCCGCCGCGGCCGCCACGTGTCCGTTGCTGATTGCTTGGCGCTTCCTCAATATGAATACTACTCTCCTCTCTCCCCTGGTGACGTCCGGGAAATGTCCGACCCCACTACGCGTACAGGCTTTTGGCGCACAGGATTCCCGGGAGTCGGGTTTTCGCTCAGGTTTTTGTTCAGAATGCTGCTCCGCTGAAGCTCTGGCTGCACTTTCGGGCCACCGTTCGTTCCGAATCGTGTTCCCACTGCAGCGCTGGCCTCATTTCCGCGTTTCCGCTCGTTCCGAATCGTGCTCCCGCTGCAGCGCTGGCGTCATTATTTCAATGAAAACCATGCTTTTCGGTCCTGCCAAAGAGGCCCCAAAATCAAAAAAAATGCCCCCCGAAAAAACAATCGGAAGTGTTTAACTACACATTCGGTGTCGATTCGTTGGGTGTTGGGGCCGCAGAAGTTCCCCCCACTTTGGGGCTTCGCCACCCCAGGCTATGTCAGGCTACGCGTCCTCGGAATCCCGTTCCCGCTGCAGCGCTGGCCTCATTTCGGCGCTGTCGCTCGTTCCGAATCGTGCTCCAGCTGCACCGCTGGCGTCGTCATGTTCAGCGCCATGCTACGGCGTGATTTTCGGTCCTTCCAAATAGGCCCCCCGATCGAAAAAAATTGCACCCCGACAAAAAATATCGGAAGTGAGTGCACATTCGATGTCCATTCGTTGATCCTTTTGGCCGTAGAAACCCCCCGGGACCTTAAAAAACCATCCGATTGGAAAACACCAATCCAACTTGACCCCGCGAGGGGTCCAGGGCCAAGTGTGAGCCGATTGTTCAAGAACGCCAAACCATCAAGCCTGGCAGCCAGCCGTACTAGTCCCTGACATCCGTCCTCGCCCGCGGCAGCTTCCCCCGCCACCGACGCCGTCGTCGTCTGCGTCGTTGTCGCCGTCGGCAATTTCCGTGCGTTTCCCGGAGTTTCCCGAAGTCTTCGGGCCATCCGCCACGCCTCGTGCAGAGCTGTCCGGGGAGCCCAGCAAGACTTGGAAAGGGGCACGGAGAACGCAAGGCGGGGCGTCGAACGGAAGGGGGGGGGGCTCACGCTATTACAGTACCCCTACCAGACGGCACTTGGCATTCGAAAGCGCCCACAGCGGGCAGGCATGGTTGCGCGGGTCATGGGGCCGGGATTCCGGACAGGCCTTCTCCTTTCGCACACGGGCCATCTACGTTCTAAGCCATGCGGTGCCACGCCATGACAAGCAATGCGATGTTGCGTTATGCTCCGCAATGCGACGCCATGTTTTCCGACGCTACGCTCTGCGATGCAATGCTACACTACGCAATGCCAAGCCATGCTATAACATTCTCCACCATGCTACGCCGTGCTTCACCATGCATCGCAAACCCCCTCGGGATCGTTGCCTTGCTCGACATCAGCCTGCGCGCGTAAGGAGGAGATCTGCGCCATGGTAAGGGTTGGGAGGGGCATGAAGACAGATGTGACGCGAGCGCATCTAGCTTGCCCCCCCCCTCCCGCCCCTCCCCAGCGCGGCCGCGAGCGACCAGCTTGCTCGCACTGCTTCGCACCGTGACCGCACACGTGCTCGAGGCAGGCCTGGCCGGCTCACGCAGACCTCTCGCCGCCCCGGGTCGGCCCAGCCCCGGCGGCCCGTCCTCGGCCACCGAGCCACCAGTGCCAGCCCGAGGCGCACGGCGCCTTCAGCGCGCCACGCGCGACAGGCGCCGCCTGCCCGCCCGCCAGAGCAGGACGCGAGGCCGAAGCGGCCCTATGAGACCACAGGCGGGCCACCCGAGACGCAGCAAGCTCTGCGCGCAGGGGCGAGGCGATAGGGCTCGGCCCACGCGACACTAGACGAGCGCGTTCCGCTACTCACAAAGTTACTACTCCCAAGTGAACTGGATCCGCCGCGGGGGGGGTACGATTTATTACGTCGAGGCCCCCCCGACCCTTCCCCCCCCCCCAGCCGCCCAGAGCCCTCTGCACCCCGCTCCTCGCCGCCCCAACCACTTTATTTCGGCGTCGCACCGCCCCGCCCGCTCCGCCCCCCCCGCCCCTCCACCCATCCACCCACACCAAGCACCACCACCACCAGCGCGACCCCCTCCGCCCCGACCAATTTATTTCAGCGTCGCACCGCCCCCCGTCCAGCGCCGCACCCCGCACCCCCCCAGCCCCGACCACGTCATTTCGGCGCCGCACCGCCCGCACCGCCCCGCCTCCACGACACGCCCCCCCTCCCCACCCGCCCAGTGCACCCCGCCCCCCTCCGCCCCGACCATTTTTATTCGGCGTCGCACTGCCCCCACAGTCCCGCCCCCCCGACCCTTCCCCCCCCCCAGCCGCCCAGTGCCCTCTGCACCCCGCCCCACTCTGCCCCGACCACTTTATTTCGGCGTCGCACCGCCCCCACAGCCCCGCCGCTCCCACCCCTCCACCCACCCGCCCACGCCAACCACCACCACCACCAGCGCGACCCCCCCCCCCTCCGACAAATTTATTTCGGCGTCGCACCGCCTGGAGCGGGCGCTGCCTTGGGCCACCGCGGGAGTCTCAAGCCTACGCGTAACTAGCATCATGCGAGCTTCTGTCTCAGCCTGCGCGAGCTGGTCTTAAGATATCTGCACTGGCATGATTTTTGCGGTCGGGGGCGCACGGGGAGGGGGCATTGAGCCGATGCGTCTCCCAAACACATCAAGCGCCTGCATGCGTTGCCTTCGCACGGCGGATGCGCAGTGCCTTGCCGCATTGCTACCTTTGTCTCTCTCTCTCTCTCTCTCTGGGCCACATGGGGCGCGCGCACAGCAGCATCAGTGATTTCTGTCTGTCATACGCCCTGCGCGGCCATATGGGCCAGGCCCTCGGCTGCGCGCTCCAGCTGCTCGCTCCCGAGAGGGCCCGCATTCGGACCCGCTGCCGTGCATCTGTTTGGCTTTGGCCTTCACTGCGGCACGTCGGGCGCTCTGCTTGGCTCTGGGCGGCATGACACTAGGGGGGAGGGCGTACTGGATATAACGAAAGCTCTTCACAGCCCTTCAAGTCCGCTGCGGGTTCGCTGCGGCTTAAAGAGGGTGCGTCGGGGTAGCGGAGTAAGTAATACAACGACCGACTGAACTATCTCTGCCGGTCGGTTCGCGCGCGGGTGGTTCTGGGCGTCGCTGCCGGCACTGCCGAGCTACGCGCCTGTTTCCAGATGCATGTGCGCCGTGGCCAAGTAAGCCGCTTCTGTCTATGCGGCCGCCAGCGTCGGCAGCGCCAGCGGCGTGCCCAGGAGCCGGCGCATCGCGGCCACGGCGGCCATCTCGAACGCCTTTTTCGGCGATCTTCTCTCAAACCCTTCTGCTGGAAAGGCGGGAGTGGGTCCGAAATAATTAATTAGTTCAGAGATCCAGCGTCGAACTCGAACTCTCGGCGCCCGTTCGCGCGCACCCTTTGTTCGAGGGCGAAATCCAACGAAATAGTTCGAGCTCGAAGCGGAACTACGGACGAAGAACTCTGCTGACTGCGGTTCCTTTGAGGGTTCGGGCGCAAACTCGAGCTCAGAGTTCGAGCTCCCGGCCGAACTCTGAGCCGAACCTCGGCTCATCAAATTGTTCAACGCGGAGTTCTCGATCGAACCCAGACTTTGACGTAGAAAACAGGCACTTGTTAGCTCTCGGGCTAGGGTCCGGGCTCGAGCTCGGGGTCGGGCCCAGACAAAGGCTAGGGCTCGGATAGAGCTCCATGCGTTCCGAAGAAAGCTCGAGAGTGGGTCCAGAGTCCGAATCTGGAGTTTGAGTTTAGGCTCGAAACGCAGACTCTCTGTCGGCGGTTGGCCGCGGAGGGGGGGGGGGGAAATGGAAACAGGAACAACTAGTTCATTTCCGTTTGAAGAGAGTTTAGGAGTTTAGAGTTGCTCCGGGGGGCTTGAGTCGGGCTCGGGCTTGGGTTCCCGCTCGGGCCCAGCCTCGAGCTTGGGCTCGGGCCCGGACAGAAGCTAGGGCTCGGATGGAGCTCCCCGAAGAAAGCTCGAGAGTGGGTCCGAAGTCCAACTTCAGAGTACCTCGTGGAGCTCTTCGGCATCGATGAGCTTGAGGAATTCCGGCGCGCGGTGGAGCTAGTTGGCCCACCCGGCCCGGGCGGACAATGTGGCAACTTTGGGTCGGCTCTTGGGAGATTGTGAGAGATTTGACAATTCGTTTTGAGATTCCAGATTCTCATTCCCTGCAGTCGATTACGGCGAGCTTCATGGTGCAATTCTCAGGGCTGTAGCTGCAGCACGACTCTCGAAATTAGGGGGACCCGTCGGCCGTCGGGATGCATTTTCCAGGTGATAATGTTTTCTTGAACTTAACTCGAGCGGAGAGCAAGCCACACAGCTCCAGTATGTTCTGCACCTGTTGTAGGTTATGACGCGTCGGGCCGTTGAATTCTCAGGTCCGTAGCTGCAGTATTACCATCAAACATTTGG